TTGTGTCATAAACATTACATAAGCTAACTAATGGGCATCATTGTCTTCCATGGAGTCATACAAAGCATGAAACCTCTGTCTTGCAGTTGTGGCATCAGCATGAAATTCTGCCTGTTCAACACCTTTTTCCCTTAATCTTGTAGAATTGGCATTCCTTTCCTTTTCATTCCTTGCTCTCAGTCTCTGCACAAATTAAAACGAATCCATTCACTATCCTGGTGGTTTATAAATGCAACACATAACATAAAATTAGAAATAGGCAAACATACCTCCAAATAGGGGTGGCAGCGGGTCAGATTTATGTCGGGTGAAGGCTCATCCACGTCCACCCGTTAATTTTTCATATTCCACCCACCCGTCCACCATCCATTAAACATTACATCCATGGGCGGAGCTAGGGGAGGGCCATCCCTGGCCCTGGCCCAGCCCATATTTTAAAAATGTCTGTATTTTTAGTGTAAAAAATTCCGTGTAAAAAATTTTCAAAAAATATTCTTTGTATCGGCCCAGTCCGGCCTAGTGCTCTAGCTCCGCCCCTGATTACATCCACATCCAACCCACCCATCATGAGCGGGTTATCGGGTGGATCAGGTGAGTAACGGGTGAATATAAACGGTCTAACTTAAAAGACAAAATAAATAAATTATAAATAGAAATTATAACAATTAAAAACCAAAAATTAAAAATTCATTGAATAATAACAACAAAAACTTGAGCAACTAAGTATATACTACAATCGTCAGTTCACTGCCAATAATGAAAGAAGTGGTTGTCAAACAAAATAGTCATTTTTTTTCAAGCTGTAAAATTCTACATTTCTGCATCGGCACAAAATTATTTTTGCGGTTCAACTACCACTTCTTGAAACTCTTCAATTGTCCTTACTTCACCGATTCAAAGATATGTGTCTTCTCCATTAACAATACATATCTATTACTCTCTAATATACTAGTATTAATATTAGTTGTTATATATATTATTAAATAGATATTATATACTCCCTCCGTCCCATTGGACTTTGCCAACTTTCCCTTTATGGTTGTCCCAAAAAACTTTGCCACTTTCCTATTAAAGCAACTAATTTGTGGTTCTGCACATTTCTCTCTCTTCTGCACAAATCTCAACCTACATTGTGTTTTACTATTCTTATTTCTCACCTACTTTGCACTTGGCAAAGTCCATCGGGACGGAGGTAGTATAATATAATAATATATATTATTTTTTGTACAAGTTAGCGGGTGTGTGGATGGAGCGGGTGACGGGTCGGGTGATGGATTGGATGAGTGTTCATCCACACCCGATCCAACCCGCCTTTCAATCCACCCGTCATCCATTTTTCATCCATACTTTTTTGGGTTTTCGTCCATATTTTCTGTTCGGATTGACTGGATATCCGCGGGTGCGGGTGATATTGCCAACCCTACCTCCAAACCACCAACAATTATTTCTTTTTTCCCTCTTCATTCAAATACACCCTCACCACCTGTGTCCTCTGAACCTTGGTTTTCAGTAAAATATGATTGCAAAGTACTAGCAACTGCAGGTACATTGGCACCATTGGTTTCCTGGCAATTTTATACACACACTAAGAAGTTAAGAATATATTAAAAGCCCAAACATGTGCAATCTGACATATAAAGTTTAAGGCCATTTACCTCATCTAGGTTATTTTTGTTAGGACACATGTTCTGAGTGTGGACTTCTTGGGAGTAGTAGGTACATGAATTGTTTACTGGGTTTGAACTTCCAGCTTCATTGTCATGTGGCAAGATAGATGTTCCTTGCATTATTTGCTCTTTTGAAGGACACCCTTTTTTGTCGTGTCCCTTCTTGAAGCATAGCTGGCACGTAATTGTTGTACCTCTACTGGGTAGCTTGCCACTTCTAGGAAACTCACCTAATTCCTTTATTCTATTTTTCTTTGACCTACCTAGTTCTTTTTGTTTTAAAGCAGTTGATAAGACCTTGATGTTTGTTTTAGTCCAGAATAATGGACCAACTAAAGGTGTCATCATATGAGCATCTGTATGCCTAGGCCAGCTAAAGGTGTCATCATGTGAGCATCTGTATGCCTATACATATCCTTCTTGTACAACTGAGACACATAATCCTCTATAGGATGACCCTTGTCCCTAATTGCACATATGACGTGTTTGCAAGGAATCCCAGAAACATCACAGTGCTCACACAAACAACTTCTATTGGCCAAGTCAACAAGATAAGTGTCATAACCACATGACACTTCATAAGCGCGTTTCTCTCAAGTTCTCTATATAAGAAGAGCGTATCTAATGTTGAAGTGGGAGAAAAAATGTTCTTATTGGGATTTTGAATAAGACGACTTTATCTTTCTATTTAAAAATAAAAAAGTAAAAAGAATCGACCCCATTAAACTGCACCCTCCAATAATTACTTGCCATTATGATGTTGTTTATCCTCCTCCTAATTCTAGGGCCTAACTGACCAATCCATTTATCACCTAAATCCTTATTCTTGGTAAGCCTTTTGCATTACCAACTTTCTGATATACTCCAACTGAGATCTAGCAGCAGGTACTATTACTCCATTAAAAGGCTCACAAAGATTGTTATCAATAGTTTGACACTTTATACTCCTAATAAAGAATGCTCTACACTAAAACTTAGGATCTACCTTCTGTATATCTTCATGAGCAGTAGGAAAAAGAGGTTTGAGCCCCTTAAGACTCTCTTCAAACTCTCTTTTGGAGGCAGCCTTGCAGCACTTCCAAAATTGTCTTTGCAATATAATTCAATAACAGGGTGGGTTCTTCTCCATATGACATAAATGTGCCTGACACATCTTCAATTCTATGTGCTCAACCTCTGGTAGAGTCTCATACAAAACTGGCATTAATCCCTGATAAAAGGAATATAAGACATACAAACACATTATAAACCTATGAAACTTATTCTTAGAATCATGAAAATTAAATATTCATGACTGCCAACAATTAAGAAATAATAAATGCAGTACTAATTCACCTTTTGTTGGTCAGAAACAAATGCCCACCCTGCTCCTCTTCCAATCTGTAAATCATCTCTTAGATTCTCAAAAAACCACTTCCATGTTGCTTTAATTTTGTCTCTGACCCCACAACAGCCCATGCAATTGGGAACATTTGATTGTTGGCATCCCTTGCCACTGCTGTGAGGATTTCTCCCTTCACTTCAGATTTTAAGAATGCACCATCAATTCTAATTAACCTTCTACAACCCTCTAGAAAACCCCTCTTACATGCATCAAAGCACACATAAAATCTTTCAAACACAGGACTGGGCTGCATAATTTGTAATATGCATTTATTTCCTGCATTAGACCTTAGGATTTCAACTTTGTAATCCTCCAAATTGCTGTACTCACCCTCTATATTTCCCTTTTCCTACTTTCTTATCATTGACTTTGCTTTCTTCATTTGCTCCAGAGATACATCACAATTGAGTTCTCTCTTAACCATCTCTTTCATAACATTGGTTTTCATATCAGACACAGCAGGCTTAGTGTTGAAAATTTTTGCAATCACTTTAATTTGCAGTGGCACTAGGAATTTGCCACCCTGGATTGCAGGTATGGTCCTTGTGGAAGGTCTTCAACACCCACTTCTTACTCCTACTTTTGTTTTCAATGCCAAAGTAGGCCATCCATGTGCAAGTCTTGTTTAAGTTTGAACACTTAGGAGGCGTTTACTTTGCTGCTAAAGTCACAGTTAAGTTAGTAAGATAGGTGAAGTAAACACGCACGCTGCTTAAAAAACCGCTTACTAACCGAAATAGGTGCTTAAAGTGCCGCTTACTAAGCATACCACCCTCATGTATTAATTAAACGACACTTTAAGTTTTTTCAGTTTCCAAATTTACCCCTTGTCCTTACCCTTATTGTTACCCCCTACCCGCCCTACCCTACTACCCGACCCACCATACCCACAACCTCGATCCATCCTCGTACCTTACCCCTACTAGACCATTACCCCACCCCCCACCCCGCATACCCTTTTCCCTACAACGACCCTACCCCACCCTCACCCCCACCTCGGTCCCGCCCCCCACCTCTACCTCGGCCCCACCCGATCTCGACCCCTACCCCTACCTTACCCCGACCCCAACCCCACCCCAACCAAGGCCCCTACCACCTTACCCCCTAGCCCCCACCACATCGGCCCTACCAGACCCCACCATATCCTACTCCTACCCTACCTCGACCCTAACCCCTACCCTACCTACCTGACCCCCTACCCCACCCCCAAACCCTAGGCCCTTACCACCTACCCCAACCCTACCACATTAGCCCCACCTAGGGCCACCCCAGCCCCTTACCACATCGGCCCCACCCTAAACCCTACACCACCCTACCCTACCTTACCCGACCCCCCACCCCCTAGGCCCCACCACCCCTACCACATTGGCCCTAACCCTGACCCCACCTTACTCCTACCCTAGGCCCTTACTACCCTACCCCAGCGGGGCCCGACCCCACCATGTCCTACCCTACTCTACCTTACACTAACCCCACCCCAACACCCTACCACATTGGCACCACCCCCGACCCCCACACTACCCCTTACCCCTACCCCATACCCCCTACCACGTCGGTCCCACCTCCGACCCCGCCCTACGTGAGGTAGGATGGCGATAGGGTGGGCCAGGATCTGGGTGGAGCCAAGGTAGGGGCATCTGGTAGGGGTGGTAGGGGTTGGGGTGGGGTTGTGATCGGGGTGGGGCCGTGGTAGGTGCAAGTGGTGTATTGAGTGGGTTTGGGTCGTGGTTAGGGGTAGGGTGGGGATTGTGGGTAGGGTGGGGTCGGGGTTGGGGTAAGGTAGGGTAGGGGCCTAGGGTCGGGGTAAGGTAGGGTAGGGTATGAGGAGTAGGATAGGGTAGGATGGGGGTAAGTGGGGTGGGGTGGTAGGGGTGGGGTCGAGGACGGGGTAGTGGTGGGGTCAAGGTAGGGTAGGAGTATGTAGGTTGGGGTGGGGTTGATGTGGTAGGGGGCAAGCCTTCCCTTGTCGGTTTGGCACATAGAGTTCTTAAACACCCACACCCACACCCAAATCTTGCTGATTTCAATGCAACACAGTATGAGCCAACTCCGCCGAGCGCTTTTCTTCGCTCCCCGCAATGTTATCTCCTCGGCTCTTGCCACTGGCATTCATTCATCGCCATCGATCCACTCCCTAGTTGATCTCAAAGTAAATTCCCACCGACTTCTCAAATATCCGTGGTCCACAGCCCAATATAGAGGCTTTAAATTGAACGGTGCCGATGTAAGTCCAGTGTCAATTAGATACTCATGTGCATTTCCTACTGCTTTAGTGGTGACTTTGAAAAACCTTTTTTTAATTTGTTGACAATGCGAAGATATATCTTCCGTAATGTTTACATGTAAATATGGAATTATACTGCCAAGCATTTAAAGAAACAGATGATATTTGGTCACACCACTCACACGTGGACTGTGTAATGCTCACTATATTACTTCTTTCTATATCCACCTTGAATCATATATCTTCTATTTGCTCAATGGGGTGGGAATCGAAATTCCAATTTTGAGTCCTCGCAAAAACAAAAAGAATCCAATTTTGATGATGTTTACTGTACTTGTTTTTTGTAGGTGAAGCCAGGGAATGTTATTCAGAGAAAAGGTTAGGTTTTGTTGAAACAATAATAAATTTTTGAATACCATCTCTTGCACAAGACTAACGTTTTGCTTAATGGTGATGCCAAACTTTAACTCCTTCGTATACTTAAGGAAAGATTTATCAGGTAAACATTTGGTTTTAAAAAATGGTTATTTTGAAAAATCCAATTACTGTTATATGTTATGTTGGTTTGTACATCAAATGCAATTCACTTTGGGAATGGAAAATGACGTAGGTGGTGAAGGCTCAACATACTTCACAAGGAAGAGGAGGAGCTATTGTTCAGGTAATGGTCTAGTTGTAATTGTTAACATACTATTGAATATTGATGTTATGAATTAGTAAGATAACTAAGATTATAGATTGAATTACTGTGAGTGCATTACTTCTGGTCTACTCATGTTTGGTCAAATTATGTAGTCCAACCTCCAACCTTGTTTTTTGAAAAGTAACACCATTACCCCTCAGGTTTGGTAGGATTAACTAATCCAGTGCTATATTTTACAAGTCAACTAGTTACCCTAAACTTTGACTCTAAACAAATACCCCTCCTTACATATCATTCTCACTTTATGTCATGTTTCTCATTCTTTTGTTTTTGAAGAAAAGAAAAGGTCTATTAAAAATCCAAATAATACCACTAGATATTAGTTTTCATATATACAAGGTTTGTAATGATCTTAATTGCCACCATAATAAGTAAATATGCTTTTTATATATCAATTCATTTTCATTTGAGTCAATTATGATGCCATTAATTAGTGGTTAATGACTTAATGTTATTATTATTACTTGGCATGTTATGAGATAACTGTGGTAATTAGTGTTCTATATATATTTTGGACACTATGCACAATAACCCCAAGAGTCTAGTTAACAACAACAAAAGGCGATGATGATGAAACTTCTCGCATATATATATATATATATATGGATTTCTAATAAATATTTCACTAAAAATGAGCAGACCAGTGTGCATGGCATCCCCTCAAGGCGAGGGTCTGAGGAAGGGTCCCACCACAAGGGTCTGAGGAAGGGTCCCACCACGAGGGGGCAAGCCTTCCCTTGTCAGTTTTCGACGAGAGACCACTCCCAAGACTTTAACCCGACCTTTCTTCACACAACACCACCTTAAACGGTGCACTAAGCCCCCCTCTTCATTTAAATTTCATTGTTTTGATAAAAAAGAATTGATAAATTAATAGGAAACCATGATGAAATGAATGCTTGGGCACTCAATTTCCTACCTTTTTCATAGTATATGGACACAGCTATGGGACTGAGGTGCCAATGCATGAAGGAAACACTCCTAAGGCTCTTGGTCGACTAATATGAGGTTTACACCTTAAGATGTATGAGGCGCCGAGGTGCCGATCCTAAGCCCCGATTTCATAAAGAAAATTTGGAGTATTTAAGAGTGAATGTTGTTTTAATACGCGTTGGGCTATTTTTATGCTGTTCGGCCTCAGGATATTCTGGACACAAACCTAGTCTGGCACTCTCCATTTTTTGTATGTTTTTTTAAACAACCCTTTTCTCTTCATTTTTCAATTTTCACCAATAACGTAACAGTCCACTCACAGCCACAAGTTTAATTGCTCATATTTATCTATGTGATTGCTCGCTGGATACTACTTTTTCTGTTTCCTTCTCTTTTTACTACTTTTATCCAACATCCCTTATATTTCTCTCTCTCTCTCTCTAATATTCTCTTTATTCTCTCATCCCCTTTTAATCAGCTTGTTAACTAGCATATCGATGGTGATATCGAAGTTACGATATCGAAGGAGATGGAAATGGGATGAGATTACAAATTAGATAATGCTCCGTAATTAACTGAATAATGGTATTACTTTTGAAGATTAGTAGTTAGAAACTTAGAATGTTAAGACTTAAGTATGTTGTATGTTCTTATTTTTGGCATGCATATTTTATTATTTATGTCTTATTGACTTTTTTGTCCTTATAAGAAAATACTATATTTATATTTTTTCTAAATTTCAACATATTAAATTTTTATGTCATTGAACTATCATTATAAATGATCTATTTTCCACTATTTATTATTATGTTGTTTATGTTTCTCTGAGGCTTACGCCTTGCTTCGCCTTGTCGGGACTCGGGAGGCCAATTTCGGCTTTGAAAACCTTGAGTGGTAAGAGCTGGCATGTCAGAAACAGAACACTGCTTCTCAAGTGGTAGGAGAATCATCATTAGAATTCAAAGGCTGCTGGTTGAGGAGCTATTTAGTCCTTGGATTTTGCACAAAGACTTCTGGATGTAATACTCTTCTGTTTTGTCCAGAAGATGTTACAAAAGAGCACTAATGAACAAGGACTATATTCATATACTTGGAGATGAATGCATTTATGTTTATAAAGCTAAAAAACAATATACCGTTTGACTAGGTAAGAAGAGCTCTATATTAGTGTAGTCAACTGTTCTTGATCAACTGATATAGATGTTTTCCTGGTGTTTAAGAATAGGCCTGTGGGTGTAATAGTACACTGAAAGTAAGAGCACAAGTATCTCAGTCCGAAGGTGGTGTAATACTTCTATTCCAGTCACTCTCTTCAAGAGCGTTTCCACTAAGTAATTATCACTAATAGAATTAGTGCCAAATTTAGCCTTGATCAGAAAGCCAGTCAAAACTTGAAGGTTTTTCACGGAGAGTATAACACCACTCCAAGCTACTCAGTCCCTATGAAAAACTTACACTAAGCCAGTCAAAACTTGAAGGTTTCACTATGAAAAACTTCTCAATGTTACTCTAGTACTCTATCCTTTCCTTTACCCAAGATTTGATCACAAATCTTTCTTGAGATTTTTCTTTTATTTAGATCAATGTTTGATGCTAAACTCTGATTAATTAAGCTCTAAATATATTTCAGTGAGTGTTTAAGAGTTTAGAGAAGTGTTTGGTGTGCGGATGAGTTGTTGATCAATTAACACTTTTGTTTTGCTTGATATCTCTTGTAAGGTCTTCTTGTTCTTAGCTCCACGCATTCTTCAAAACACTTCTGTATTTCTTGGTTGTATAGGACTTATCCTGTTGGTGCAGGAAGTTTCTTTTCATCCGGTTGCTTGATGGGGCTTGAACTCTTCGCTCATGAGATTTGATTTTCTTTCTGAAAGGTTGTGAGCCGATATTGAAGCCCATGTGGTGAATAAGTGAGTTGTATTTATCATTGTCTTCTTTTGAATTTCGCCATTCTTTTTTAGTAACTTGCTCCATCAGTTGAGACTTGAAACACAGTAAACAGGGGCATTAAATGCTCACTGATTCACTGTTCAGTGAGGTCCATATGTCTTCCCTGGGTTTCTTGATTTTTTACATTGTAGGAGGGTGTAGAGTTACCTGAGGTAATCAAGTTTGCTTCTTTCAGTTGAGCCCAAATCTCTGTCCGTTGAGTTTGGTGCATCTTTGTCTTCACGCACTGTTCTGTTCTGAGGACTCTCCTGCTCTTGAAAATTGTCTTATTCTAAAGCACTTTGCTGTTTCAAAGAGACATTCCTGTTTTGGTCGCTCTCTTGTTTTATCACTCTTCTGTGTAAGAGTCTTCTGTTTTTCAACATTTGAATGCAACTCTTCTGTTTTCAACCTTTGAATATAACCGTTTTTTTCTTTCTTAAGTAATAATTCCAGAGGTTTATTTGAGAGGCTTTGTTCTTGAGGTGACTTGGCTTTTCTAAGAGTTGGCTTTCCTGTTTTGGTCACTCTTCTCTTTTTTAGTCACACTCTCCTGTTTCTAAATTCTAACTCAGTACTTTCTTGCAGTGTGAAGTCCTCTCATCTACTTTGTAAAAAGTCACTCCAGTTTTTCGAAGTTCACTCTCCTGTTTAAGTGAGATCAATCTTCTGTTTTCTCTTTCTAATACTCTTCTTTTTATTTCTTTTTCGTTCTTCTTTTCTTTTTATTTCATTGTTCTTTTTCTTTTTCGTTTTCTTTTTATTTTTCTTTTTGAGTATCTTTTTTTCGCTTCTTACTTTCTATTTTTGATACTTTTTTTATTGATTTATAAGACTGAATAAGATGCAACAAAATAAAATGTCTCAGAGGAGTCCTAACAGATTTGAAGGGCCTTATGAATCTTCATATCTTACCGCCCTATCATCTTCCCTTCCATGATCTTCATCAAATCCTCCTACTCTTCATTATCACCCACCTCCACTAATTTTCATCTTCTTCTAATTTTTCTTTGATTATACCCGCCTTTTGGCTTGAACTTTTGTTTGATTTCTCTCTGATAGTTCCCCTCCATGATATTAACATTTAGGTTATCTCTAAATGTACTTTTCACCATAATTTCCATTCACAAGGCCACAAACCACTCATTATTTAATGGCAATTCACCAATCAAAAGATTCTTCTTTATTAGCTAAGGATCTAATTTTGAAGTGTTTATCCCTTCAGCCTTTTTTTGTACAGGATATAAACCAAAGCGTTCAACTTGATAGTCGTCAAGCATTTTCATCTTTTGCTGTGCATATTGATTGCAAAACTCCAGTTTTAAACACACTAGATGATAAACAAGTAAAATGTAACACTTTAGTTGCAGAAATTTGAAGCTTGGGAGTGCTTTCTGTGTGTTGAATCCACCATTCAACTGAAAAAGTAAATCATATTTCTTAAAATTAAAAATATTAAAGCAAGTATACACAAATAAAATCGAGCAAAATAAAAAATTTAAGATATCTCTTGAAGATTTCACTTTATAGAATATTGACTTAATTAACTGTGTAACTAGAGCTATAGCCTATAGGCTATACTCTAAAGCTTAAAAAGTTAAAATTTACCAGGGGATCTCATGAAGATTGTATTACTTGCTTGAGCAAAACATAAAGCCCTTCTTGTTTGTGCAAATTTCTACATTGGAGGTCAGCTTTCTTCCTGTTCTCTCTCATAGGTATGAGTCGGTACAGGCAATAAAAGTATAAAACAAGCCAAGTCTAACGACAGGATGAGTAGAAAAATCATCTGTATAACTGCAATGGAAATAGATAGTTGACTGCCGAAGTTGCATCCTTGAACAATTGCGTTTAGAAATCACATTTCTCATCGATAGTATCCCATATTTGCTTATAATCTTTTACAGCTTCATCCAAATCCTCTATTATGATTTTAGTTGCCACATCCATAACATTGTAGAGGTAACCCATTGCTTGTTTTTTATCAGAATCAACTATTATCAACACCAAGGGTTTGTAGTTTTGATAGCATTAACCATATTTGTCCAATTAATTATCCTTTATAACCATATTCTTTAATCCTTTCCCTTCCGATGTGATTGCCCAACTAAATCCCGTCAACTGCTCATAAGTAAACATAGACTCAAATGGTTTCCTCAGCTGATAAATACTTCATAAAGGAAAAATGTAGGGGCAAACCTAATGGAGGTTGGTTGGATGAGCTCTCTATTGGAAGATATCCTTATCAAAATCAAATTCTAAAAGGGGACTGGGCACTTCATTTTATTTGATTAAAACACAAGCATAGTTGGGAAGCACGTGGGGTCTGATATAGACGTAGTTTTGCTTCATTTATATATCCGCTGCTGCCCTGTAGTTGCTTGCGTTTTCTGTTTCAATTTGGACAAGAATATCTTCTCAGATTTCTCGTCAATATTACCAAACAACTTACAGCTTAGCTTTGAATCTTTGACGTGCTCAGATGCATCCATACTTTTGAAGAAAGCACTGCAACTGGGACTATTGACAAGATTGGACTATTGACAAGAAATTTAATCAAATTTATTTGCGTAAGTATCCTCCCAACCATTAGACATCATTGTAACTCCAGTGTCAATCAACCCTCTTTTGAGTTGTATTTAGCCCTTACTTAAATATCTTCATACTACGTACATGTTAAGAAGTTTAAGCCCTCAACAATAGGTTATTGTTTAATAGGGAACTTCTGAACAATAATGATATTTTTGTTTTGAAATTTTATGTATAGCTTGGATTGGCAAACATTTTGGATGTCATATTTTCTTATATTAGTTTCTCTTACTAAACTTGAACCTATATATAAACAACAATTAAAACCAATCAGGAATTTAAGATTCACTATTCAGTAATCAGCACCGCATCTGAAATTAGAAAAAATATAGGAAAAATGTGACCAGTGGTAGGAAAGCATGACCAACCAGAGGAGAAGGGGAGGAGGAAAAATAGGGAACATGAAGACAGCAAAGTATGAGATTACTTCAAGAAGGGTGTAACTCTCAACGCCTATTTTGAACTTGTACTGGTGAGACACGCCTTAAATCGCTCCTCTGGTGCACCTTTTTAAACTTCGTCTTTTATGAGCCTTTCTGTGTTAATTTAAATTGCACCGTTTCACTTTCTTAATCAGTGCCCAAAAGCAAATACAAACCTAATTTGGGGATATATGGAGTATATATCAGGAAAACAAATGGCATTCTTGGTTTTCTAAGAAGCATTTCATTTTAAAAAGAAAAGGAAAGATGTGAAACAATGAATTTGAAATCTAAGAGTGGGGTAGCTGCTGACAGAACCAATGTTAAGGTGGTAAACAGCTTACCAAGGTTTTCAGGATCAGGGTCCTACTTGGGATTTTTAGGAGGGTGTACATGATAAGACCGTTGAATTGGATCGAGGATCCTAATATTTTAACCACTCTCCACATTAGTTGATTTAAATGCATATGTAATAATTTAAGTCTTTTTATACTCTATTTAGAACACAGCTACTTTTTCCTTGAAATTATCGAATCCTTTCATCGTGTTCCTTATAACGTGCCCATGGTCACACTTTAAAAAACACTCCTTATCAAAATTCAATGTTGGGCTAACTAATCTGACCAAATGTAGATGGTAACTAGTTGGCTTTTCAAAATACGACACTTGATGACCTGAAGGGGGGCATTAGTAACTTAGTAACTTAGTAACTAACCCTTGAATTTAATCTGAACATGTTTTGTATCTCCATGATATATTCTAGGTAGAGCTGCGGGACGTTGATAGTGGAACCAAAGTGAATGAGAGATTCCGTACTGATGAGGCAATTGAGAGTATGTATCTTCAGCTTTTCACATTTGATTCTACGTTGGTTTGTACGTCGGATTGTCATATTTTCTACATCGCATAATATCTCCTAAATCCTAATGCTTAACCCCAGCCTTTTTTCCATGCCTAAGTAATTTATGAAGTGACTAAACATACCAGAAGGTAGGTATTCACATGTTATTGTTTTGTGCTCAAATAATGCTTTATAACACTTCTCATCTGGAACTCAAACTAATTCTATAAGGAGTTTGTAAGTGATGTCAAGCCTTTGTTGCCAATGAAGGGTGACCTAAGCGCCCAGCTGACTCGGAGAGGCCCATTTTCCAAATCATTTTCTTTGATCCATTCCATCTTTATATTAACGGTCTTTATGTGTGCACTGTGCAGGGGTATTTGCTACAGAAAGGACTTTTACATACCTCTATACTGATGATGAAACTGGAAATATTGTGTTAATGGAGTGAGTATTCTTTGTGATTTTATGATTTTAATGCGATTTATAGTTATCTTACTACTGGAAGTAGGCTAGTGCACTGTTGAACATATTTCTAAACATCTAATTCTCATTATATTATCGACTAGACCTGATACATATGCACAGCTGGATGTACCACGACATCTGTTTGGTAACTCTTATGTCTACCTTCAAGGTAATGAAATTACTTATTTATTTGACTCACACATATATTTCAACATTCTCCTATGTACTCCTTCCGTCCTGCAATTAAGTTCACATTTTCCTTTTCTAAATATCCCGGAATCAAGTTCATACTTGATACTTCTCTTTTTGGTAATATTTGAGTGGTAAAATATCATTTTACCCCCAAGGAAAGTGCATCATTAATTTTCTCTATCATACTTTTAAAGGACATACTTGGAAACTAAAAAAAGGTATTTTGTCTAGAAATTCGTGAAGTCAAACTATAAACTAAATTACGGGATAGGGGAAGTAATATTTTGCACTCAAAATATGATGGGCAAGAATCACGAAGAAACCTTATTATGAGATCCTTTGAGACATGGTTTTGAAAGGTGAAATTGGGCCCATGGGTTTGAAAGGCAGACGGGGTGTGCGCCTCTAGGGCGCAAAGGTGTCGATGAATCCCCTAAAGGCTCAAGCCTTGAGCTGCAAAAGTAACGCTAACACCTCCAATTTGCTGAGGTGACGGTGCGTTTAGGTGCAGGGCGCAAGGGGCAGACAAGGCGTACAACTCCAACTTCACTTATTTGGGCTGATTTATTAATATGGTTGGGTCTCGAGCTTAAGTTTTTTTTTTTAAATTTGTTTTCTCCTAAAGTTCTATAGTTCAAACTTCAAAGTACTTCTTACTAAAACACACGAGCATTCGTTTGTCGATAACCCCAGGACACGTTTACTTCACATGTTACTAAATGGTGCTTATTAAGACTCACATTAATAAGCGGCTCATAAATTAATCAGTGCTGTAAGCTCATGTTTACTTCAAATGATTTAAAACACTGTTTTAACATTTAAATGTTCAAAATAACTCTATACATATATAAACACAAAAACATTCATGTACACAAGTATTTAATATAATACGTGGGGGCCTCCTCGTGCGCGTACCCCTACCCCTAACCCCCTCTACACATACCCCACCCCTAACCCCCTCTACACATACCCCACCCCTACCCTACCCCTACCCCTACCACGATCTCTTACTAGTACCCCCCTGCCCCCTAACACCCTTACGCCCTACCCCGTACCCCTGTATCCCCGACCCATGTACTCTACCCCCTTACGCCCTACCTCGTACCCGTACCCTTCCTTACCCTTACCCCCTACCTTGACCAGTATGCTCGCTCGTACCCCTACCCCCATCCATTACTCCCTAGGGTTGAGGTAAGGGTGGGGATAGAGTAGGGGTAAGGGTGAGGGTAGGTAAGGGTAGGAGTATAGTGGGTAGATCGTGGTAGGGGTAGGGAGAATGCAAAGGTTAGGGTGTTAGGGTAGGGGGTGCAGGATTGGGGTAGGGCAGGTGGTAGGGGCAGGTGGTAGGGGTACTTTGGTGTAGGGGGGTAAGGGGTTAGGACGGGTAGGGGTGCGAGTGGGGTAAGGAGTATGGTCGGGGTAGGGTGGTAAGGGGCTAGGGGTAGAGGCCGGGTAAGGGTGAGTGGGTGGGGTACTGGGGTGTTAGGGTTCTGGGACTGAGAACGGGTCCAGGGACGACTTGGGTAGCAGGATACCCGGTGGAGGTTGTAACCTGCCTGCTAGGGTTTCCTCTCTTCTTGCCCGTGGCTGGAAGAGCGCAGGGGAGGGGGGAAGTCTGTGACTTCTCTGGAAATAATTTTTAATGATCGATAGTTTTATTAATGCTGAATAAAGAGTATAAATAGGCATCCTGCCTTTACATAATAGAGTTCTAATCGAACAGAAACTATAACATCTAATACTTCTATTCCTAATAGGAGTTCTAATCTAACTGTAACCTCTAATACTTCTATTCCTAATAGGAAGTAATAAATAAAATATAAAAATAGCATCAGGATAATTCCCTCTTCTAATTAAACTCTTCTAATTAAACTTCCCGCTGGTTCCATAAAAATGCATCTGTAACATGAGGGTAGGGTAAAGGGTTATGGTAGGGGAAGGGCTAGGGGTTAGGCGAGGGTAGGTGTAGGGTGGGGGTTGGGGTCTGGTAGGGGTGGGGTCAGAGTCAGGGTAAGGTAGGTTAGGGGTAGGGGCGGGGTGGAGGTAGGGTTAATTAATACATGGAGGGTGGTATGCGTAGTAAGCGGCACTTTAAGCACCTCTTTCGGTTAGTAAGCAGCTTGCGTGTTTACGAGTGAAGTAAACACGTCCTAGGTGTTGCCTTCTTTGTTCTCCATTTTCTTCCTAATACATGACCAGAGACCCAATATTCTCTCTTCAGGTATTTATCTTATTCTTTCTTTGTTTTTTTATCTTATTATAAATTTTTAATTATTTGAAACTTTTTAGTTATTCAAAACTTCAGGTTTAAAACATTAAGATATTTGTACTATCAAGCTCCAAACTTAACTTACATTTTGAAGTTATCATTTAGCTTAACTTTTTAAACCCGGCTGAGTCGAATTAGATATGAGAATTTTATTCCAACTCTTGTGAGCTTGTCGTTTTTAAAATTTCAATTACAATTGAAAGCCAAGATTACAGGTTTTTTAGTTAAGCTGTAAGAATATTGATCTTTCTAGCCGTTGCTTACATGATGTATTTTCTAGTCATGATTAGCAGGCTAACAGCTTTAAATTTCAAGCTGATTACAATTTGATTAAGATTGTTAGTTTACAAGATTACAATTTGATTAGAAATATTGCAGTTTACTTGACTACAATTTGGATGTTGTTGTTGTACTTGATTACAGTTTGATAAAAATATTGTAGTTTACTTCATTACAGTGTAATTAAAATCATTAATTATTACAATTGATTATCAAATATTAGATAGTATAGTTTGATTTGTTTACTTAAAGTCATATAAAGTCAATCTATATAAACCGGCTAAGACTAATTTTATCAAAAGCCCGACCCATTAATTAATTCATTCTATATTGAGCCCAACCCATTTGGCCCATGCTTATTAGTTTTTTTCGGTGTTGCCTGGCCCAACCTGTTGACGATCCTAACTTCTAGGTGATTCATCTATGCTTCATAACCGCATGCGGCAGGGGCGGAGCCAGGACCATGGGCCAGACTGGGCCGATACAAATAATATTTTTTTTAAAAATTTTGCCCGGAATTTTTTACACTAAAAATAAAGGCATTTTTAAAATTTGGGATGGTCCAGGGCCAAGGTTGGCCCACCCCTATCTCTGCCCCTGGCATGCGGCCCAGGGGCGGAGCCAAGGCACTGGGCCGGTACAAAGAATATTTTCAGAAAAAATTTTACACGGAATTTTTTACACTAAAAATACAGACATTTTTTAAATTTGGGTTGGGTCGGGGCCAGGGTTGGCCACCCCTGGTTAACCCCCTGCGCACGCCCCAACCGTCTTTGAAAACTATGCATAGAGAATGATACTGGTATAGTAAATCAAAATAAATGTCAATTACATATTATTTTACTCTAGGAATCTCAGGATGTTTTTAATTGGGCTGAATTTTTCTGGTCTAGTCTGATCTATTTTACAATGGTTGAAGTCTGACCTAGTCTAGTTTGTTCTAATCTATTTTGATGTGATATATCTGGGACTGAAACCAGTTCAATTAAAATATCCTTAAAGAACATGTGTTTGTGTTAGAACTTAGAAGGTAGCCCAAAGCCACCCATGTTTTTTAATTTGAACACTTGAAATACTAGAAAGGTTTCCATTATCTTAGTTGGTTGAGATGCAAAATAAAAAGCTTATTGTAGTATAGGTATATCATCAAAGTTTTGCAGTTATTTTGTCATTGTCTACTTGTGCATTGCAAAACTGAAATTGTATCTATATGCCCAAACTTGGGAGACCTATGATTAAAGTTTATTTGTATTCATAGGATCTTAAGGTAATCCGACCTTAAGTTACCAGATCACTCTCTGGGTTATTATTTGATAAGTCTCTTCACTTGACCATAAATGTGCGGTGAACAGATGATATGAGAGTGAGTGTGCAGCTGTATGATGAAAGGCCGATGTCAGCATCTATTCCTTCGCGTGTAACATGCACTGTTGCTGAAACTCAAATTCAAGTGAAGGGTGCTTCAGTTACTCCTCAGTAAGTTCTTATGTAGTTAAATCCATAAGCTGAATAAGTAGATCAACACTTGCAAACTAATTCACTCTGTTACCTCAGGTACAAGAGGGCTGTTTTGGACAATGGTCTTACTATCATGGTGAGTTAAATGATCATAATATTAGTTTCTCACAGACAAAAAAATAATAGACCTTTAATATTTAACGCCCGCTGCTTTACTCGGGACTGCGTAACCTTACAATGTTATTTGACTGTTTTTTACCATTTACACATCGACCTTTGCGTATGTTCTTATCTAGGTGCCAGGACACATCTTATCAGGGGACAAGATAGTAGTCAGCACCACCGACAACACTTACATGTACAAGTGAGTGCATTTGTTCTCTTTATATTTTTGGAATCCTCTTTTAATGTCTATGTGTATGCTAGAGTCAAATCTCTTGCTTTCCCAGACATAATAAGACTATTTTATGTTTCTTATTCAGGGCTTAGAGTGACTGGTCTGCCAAACATCTCGCTTTACTAGAGTGACTAATAATATTATTCACATGGGCATTTGTTCTCTTTATATTTTTGGAATCCTCTTTTAATGTCTATGTGTATGCTAGAGTCAAATCTCTTGCTTTCCCAGACATAATAAGACTATTTTATGTTTCTTATTCAGGGCTTAGAGTGACTGGTCTGCCAAACATCTCGCTTTACTAGAGTGACTAATAATATTATTCACATGGGATAATCCTTCCCACCACCATTTTCTTACTTTCTATTTATAGATTATTGCTTTTACCATTATATAGAATTCATTTTAATTCTTACCAAGTACACGGATCTCTGAAAAATGCATGCACATCTGATTAAATACTTGACTTTCTATTGTCAAGTATTTATTACACATTGATCCGTTAAAATTTTAGTATCAAACGAGAAGTCACAGTGTTAGCTTCCAGCCTTCCACTCAACTTTTGATGGTTTTCACTTTTTACACCTCCCGTCAATGTTATTTTCTAATTGCACATTCATGCATATCTTAATAAGTAATTTCTTAATTATGTAAATCTAATTATTGTTTCGTATGAGGAAAAATTAATTAATGGCAAAAAGATAAAAATATTTAAAAAATTGTTTTATGTAAATTTTAAATTAAAAATTATGACCTAAGAATGTAGATTTCTAAAACATGGATGTCAAAGATTAAATAGAATCATTGATGATTCTAACAAAGATTAAAACTCGTTGGCGGAATGTATAAAAAGTAGCCAGTAAAACATGAGAGAAAAAGATTGTACGCGAATGTGTGAGAAGTATAACTGTATAAGGATTCTTTTTAGTTCAGTTTTCCAACCAATAGAATTATAGAAAGGTGTCAAATTAAAACAAGATTATTTCATGTATATGCAAAGTTAATTATATACCACCAGATTAATTGACCTCTGATTAACCATCTCAAATGCAATGTGCTTTTACACCATTGAATTTTGAGTGTTGATCCTCTACTTTCGTCTCAACAATCAAAACATTACACACAATTACACAAACTACAAATTTGGGAAAATCCAACCGCGGAAATAAAATACAAAAACGTATATATATGCATTATTCCCTTTCTATTAACACTATTTTATATGTATATCCACATGCAGACAACTGAAAGATAGATTTGGACACAGATATTATCTGCGAATAATTAAGAATAAACATCTGCATTTGTGGTGTATATATAATGGCTAGCGTAAGAGGAACAGCCACTGCCCTATGTATTATTGTGGCGCTGATTGCGGCGGGGACGGAAGATGTGTCGGCAGCCCACCGCCCCGCCGGGAAGATGATAGATTTAGGGGACATGGATTTACAATTTCCATGCGGTCATCGTCTGGCGAATAACCAAACCTGCAAACCAGCCATTCCGAAAAGTCAAGTCTATTTTCGAGGTTGCAGCTACATTACTCGATGCCGTGGCAATGGTCGAAGGCTTCTCGGAGGTGTACCCAGTTAGTTGCCGGTCGACCTGATGATGTGCATCTCCGATGGAAAGGAAAGATAATAGTTACTAGTATAAAAGTTGAATGAGGGTAAAATTATGGATGTGCAAAAAAAGTGTTTATGAAGTTGAATGAGGATAAAGTTTTTTTGGTCATTTTAAAGTAGGATGAGCAATTAAAATTTGTACACTCAAAAACAAGATTGTAAGTTTTACTTTTACTAATGGCAAAATCAAATTTCCATCTTTTGCAATGGAGCTAAAGATTCATTATTTTTTGGCTTGAGAATATGATGGAATAAAGCAAAATGACTCACTAAACTGTCTGCGCTTCCTTGTTATGAAGCAGCGGTCAGTCCATGCAATTTTGGACGCGATTTTCACAATGGGTCATCCGGAAACAGTCTCTCTATGCTTTAGTACAGAGGTAAGACTGCGTACATCCGACCCCCCTTACCCCACTGTAGGTGGGAGCCTTTGCGGCACTGGGGTAAATGAAAATGATGAATGATGTAATGAATGGCAAAACCAAATTCCTAAATGAATATGTATTTTCCGGACCAGTTAACTTGCTAAAATCATTTGACGACCTTCTCGATTGAATTTTTTGCTCAAATTTGGTATGGATGAACTAGACTTGATGAGGAACATACACAAAAAATTTGAGAAAAAAGTAACACCGGGAAGGCCCCAAATGGAGGAGGCCGGACGGGGCTCCTGTCCGGAATTTCCGGACGGGGCTCCTGTCCGGAATTTCCGGACAGGAATAGGTCTCACCTAAAAGAATTGATTAAAAAGAAAAAAAATGAAACACAGTGGTCTTAGATATATTATGAAACATCTTTCTATATGATAAGATTGAATTTAAGAATCAAATAGGCAAGTTTAGAATACAAACATAAGATAAATGAAATTCGGCATTCATAATTTATTTAGCTTTAATAATACTGTGATAGAAACAGGTTAATGTCAAACTTGTATTTTCCATCTTGATCGATCTTTTAATGAAACAATCATACACTTTCCATATCCCCTTGTATATTGTGGCACCAAAAAACCGCGTTGAGCGGTGCTCTCTTATTCCAAATTAAATGACACAGTTGCTTTTAATGAAAGAAAACTTTCAAGCACAGGCGCGTAAATAGTGAAACAATATTTGGCGTAAATAAAGTTATGTTGGTATAAATGCTTTTGTAAATAATGTAAATATGTCAAAAGTGTCGAACTATACTATTTTTTTCCTTGGGGAAAAATAATACCATTTGTTTAAATTTAAAGTCATTTGTCAAAGACTTACAATGAAATCGGGTGGATACAACACGGTTCATATACTATTACGTGTGTCAATAACTTGATATATGCTTTGTTTAGTTTTTGTCCTTTGAGGGGAAACGCTGATATATGCGTAGTATAACGCTGATCTAATATGCTGCAATTTGCAACATTTTTAGTTTATTTCAGTTTAGTGTTTTGGCAGAAACGCCGAAACCCAAACATGGCCATAATCGCTTTACATTTGGTGTAAAAAGTGGTACTACATATGTCGTATTGCATTGATTAATGTTTAACTGAATTTGAGAGTAAACTTTGGCGTTCCGTGTTCCTCCGAACCAAATGGATTGGAATACTTGACAAATAAATGAGATATACGGTCACAGGGGCGGAGCCAAGGGGGGTCAGGGTGTTCAGCCGACCCCGCTGAAAGTTCAAGAATGTAGAGCTCTGAAATACTTTCGATTTGATATATTATGGGCCCCGTAACTCATTACGAGTAAAAAGTTATGACTTCTGAAAAAATCAGCACCATCTTAACTTGAAATATACAAAATTTGATGTGTGACGTTGATTATATTCTTAAATTTAAAAATAAAACACCTTATTTAGTCGTTAGTTGTGTGAAAATTATGATACACTACATATATATATCAATACATTAACTGTAAAGGCTCATTAAACTATCATTTATCTCAGTTACATATGAAACATTTAATTCAAATATTGTATAATAATTATCAATCATTTTGATACTGGGTATAATTAAACTTCAACCCCCCTCACACATAGGGCTGGACTCGGGCCGGTTCGGGCCCGGTTCGGGCCTGAGCCCGGCCGGGCCTCGGGTCAGAAAACTGGGGCCCGAGCCCGAACCGCCGGTGGCCGGTTCCGGTTCCAGGCCAAACCGGGCCGGGCCAGGCCGGTTCCAACCGGTCTATTTTTTTTATTTTTATTTTTATTTTGGTTCTCCTATTTAACCCCCTACCCCTCCCCCTCAACTCCAAACCACCCCAAACCACCTCAAATGGTCCAAAATACCTAATCCAATCCAAAACTTAAAAAAAATTCAAAAAAATAAAAATAAAAATAAAATCCGGCCCGGACCGGGCCCGAGCCCGGACCGCCCATCACCCGGGCCGGGCCAAACCGAACCGATGGACCCACCGGGCCCCGGGCCGGGCCGGGCCAAACAGTAACCGAGCCGGTTTCGGGTCGGGCCGCCCGGCCTGAGTCCATCCCTGCTCACAAACTTTTCTGGCTCCGCCCCTGTATACGGAGTAACATATAAGTCATGAAATAGTTTGGGATTAATTTCTCTAGCACAGTAGCACTTATAAGAGATTAGATGGTCAACTTAATTTAGTTTGGGAATTAAGTTCATCCAAATTGTATTCACAACCATTCACGAGTTTAGTTTCTCACTCCCTATTAAGTCATGAAATTATAACACAAACTTTTTTACAATGCAAAAGCTTTAATATATACTACCTCCGTGCCAGTAGACTTTGCCAAGTGCAAAGTATGTAAGAAATAAGAATAGTAAAAACTGTGTGGTTGAGATTTATGCAAGGGAGAGAAAAATGTGCAGAACCACAAATTAGTTGCTTTAATAGGAAAGTGGCAAAGTTTTTTGGGACAACAAAAAGGGAAAGTTGGCAATGTCCAATGGGACGGAGGGAGTAATAATTACACATGCACAAATTTCGACTGCATATTGCTTTATACAAACTACCCAGTGATATAACAAACAGTGCACCTCCATTTGGGAGGGAAAAGGAAGTTCCAATCTCGGGTTTCAGCGGAAAGCATGATCGTAGTCGTGGAAGCGAAAAACTTTGTAAATGAAGTGAGATAACCACTTTGAAGCCAGAAAGCATAGTACTGCCATCACGACCAAGGCATTTCTCGTTGTAGCCGCCATGAACCCCTGCTTAGATGCAGCAACAATTCCAATGGAAGCAATGGAAAGCACCTGCAGCGCAACCTCCAGTGCATTCAAACTTCTATATGCTGAGCTGCAGCTTGAGCATTTCACTGTATGGCTCCAGTACCTGACAAAAACAATTGCAAAATGTTATGCTTTGTTTCCCGTTAAAAGCTTAATGCTATAGAATTTAAAATAATCCCAACACCACTTGTGGTTTTTCCTTCAAATCAAACATCAATTATTTGTAAATTTGTCACATCCCCTTGGTTGAGTTTCAAAAAACGAGCCTGTAAGTTACAAGTGATTGGGCTGAAATTGTGCCTCATGTTTGATTATAGCTGTAAAAAAACTCCTTGATCTAGGTAAACTATTTTGCCTGAAATTGATAAGCTTGTGGATGATATTGATTGAGTTGCTAAAATTGCAGAAATGTGAAAAAAATTAAATATAATTTATTCAGAAAATGAAGGAAATATGGAAAATGCAACAATAATCAACTTCAGCTACTTCAGCAAAAAATAACCTGCAGACAAGACAAAGAATGGCTACCGAACGGCCGATAGGATGAATGTTAAGAAATGGAGGGACTCAGTTGGGCTAATGAATTACCGGTCCATCAACTGCTCCCTGGGAGGCGATTGTGGGAGGGCACCACTATACTTCGTTTTCCAATCAACTTGCCCGCCTGCATACTTGTTTAACCACCTTCGAAAGGCAACAATCACAGCATCTGCCTTCGTTGGCACATAACAAGTTTTGTGCCAATTATATGGGCCAATCTCCTTTAGCTTATGCTCCTTACAAATGGAGGGAAAAAAAAACAAATGGTAGTAGTCAGACACAATTCAATGCATGAGGCATTTGTCTATCAACTCTACTACAAAACTTTGCATTAGAAAATTTTACACATGCAAACCATTAGAGTAATTGAGCAGCTAAGGTTGCTTGCTTATGGCAAATATTATGTTTCATACCAATTAAATTGGCAGTAGCAGGTATACTAAAGAAATCAACTCCAGATTTCAAGTGAGTTGAATATCAAAACAAGATTATAAACGATTCCACTATAAAATCCAAAAGACTATTAAATGGGACTTCTTAATGTATATAAAAATGAAGAGTAGTAATGAAGACACTAAAAGGCTTTACCTCCACGTGAAGAAGATACAAATCTGAGTCCAAAATTAGATTTTGTCCTACATGAAAAACCCAGCGTGGCACTACTTTTTCAACCCAGACAGCGAAGTTTCTCGGTGAAACAAATATTATTCTGCTATTACCCGGGCTAACAGGGATGCAATAGAACACTAACAAAATCTGCTTCTGTTTTCCACTTGAGAGCTTCTTCTGCATGTTGGGATAAATTAGTTTTAAATAAATGCTTGCAATCTTTGAAAAAATGAAATAATACAAAGCGATTGACCATAAATCCATAATATAACCTCTAGTTAAATAGGACCACTTTCAATATTTCCAAAAAGTTATCAAAACAGGACTAACTTATCCCAAATCCTAATTTGTTCACTTTTTTTTACTTCTCTCTCCCATACTAACCTCCCAACGGTCCCTACCGACAACCGTCGGAATATAATTCAAAAAATGCAGTAAAAAACCTGCCCGAAAAAGCATCCAAAAGTGACATTGACAAATGGAGCAGTGTCGCTTGCAGTGACATACTAAAAGTGACATACTAGAAGTGACGCATTTAGTCATTTTTTGGAATTTTTAAAAATTGATCACATTTTTCTTCATGAGTGTAATTTTAGTAATATTAGAGGGAAAACCCACAAAACTAGATATCAACATCAATAGTGATCAAAATAAATAGTGTAATACATTATACATCACATTTAAATGTCTATACCTCAGTATCCTTTGGTGAAGAAGAAGAAGACTGGCTGGTTGTACTTTCCCCAAAACGGTAATACCCGTAATACAAACAAGGTGGTGCAAAGGTGTTGGACCCAATTGCCTGCATTGCTTTGACACCATTGACATCTAGTTGTGTAATACTGACTTGAACAGGCTTGCCTCCTTCTCTATCAGCCTTTAAAGTGCAAAAATTAAATTTGGGTGTCAAACATGCAAGCCCATATATACAGGCGAGGAGCAGTATACCACATAAAAGTATTTTGGTTAGCATCTTATCTGTTAGGCGTTTTTGGAACTCTCATTATGCCGTAATGTGCATAGTGAACATGAGCTGGGTCCATAAGGTTTTCAATCAGGACTTCGTACCTGAAAGATATTCATTTGGCTGGCAATAATATTGAAAAGAAATTTAAGGATCTTTAGGCGTTTGATCATGTGGACTCGGGCATCCAACTTATCATTTCCAACAAAATTTGAAGAATTAGAAAATAAGTCTTGTCTAATTTCTTCAGCAGTGATTTGTATTTGATTTGTTATCGGCTGGGTTACAGATTCTTTCTCAGACTAAAGCCAGTTTTATTTTTACTGCACCATCCACCATCTATATCATCATCATCATTACCCCAGTCCGCAAAGGCTCCCACGGTCCCACCTATGGTGGGGTAAGGGGGGTTCAGATGTACGCAGCCTTACCCCTGTATTAAAGCACAAAGAGACTGTTTCTGAACCGGAGGAAGGTTTCAAACCCTTGACACTTTAGGAAGGGCTATTAATACCTGCACTGATCTTTCCACTCGGTCAACAACACTTTAAAAGTATAAAACTTAGTAGATAATAAGAAAAATATGAAGATCAACATGAAAATGTTTAGAAGTAAATCTAAGACATATTTTAAATATTATTTTATCTACAATCAGCTCAAATTATATAGAGATACTAGAAGTTACTTATGTTATGTGTTCCTCATCAAGATATTTAGCACATCCACATCAACTTACCCATATGGTATTTCTCTAGCTATCATTGATTTAGTATATGAAGGATCATCAATTTCAGGGATGTAAGGTGGCTTTTTCTTCATAAATATGTCTTTATAGAGGGGATCTACATTTGGCCAAAACCAAAGAATGCCATTTTGTACACAGCTAGGGTAAACAGCCACACATGCCCTTTTGGATGTATGAATCTGCACACATTAGGAAAATGTTATTCTTATTCACACCAAGAAACACCATAAAAAGCATAAACAGCTATAGGTTTTTGTTAATGGGGTATGCAATTTAAGAGAGGAAAGGGATAAAAAGTTTTTAGGAGGATTCACAATTTATGAACAGACAGTTCTGCTTGTCTTAAGATAAGGGGTGAGAGGGTTAGTGGTACATTCTGCTTGTTGTACAACTGCCCACAGCTCCACAAAGGATAAATAGATAGAGATTGTGACAAAATGCTCTAGTTATGCATCAACCAACTCAACCACTTCCTTATTTTCTTATCCAGCTCTCTCATAGTCCTCAAACAAAGAAAAAATGAAAATAACTGTGATTTTGTGTGGGGCATCAAGACTAAGGAAGTTTTTAAGGATGCTACGTAGTTTTGAAATGTAAATTTTAATTACTAATGCCAATTTATCTATTATCAGTAAAGAATCAACTTTATGGGACAAAGGGAGCACCTTTTTTTTGGCTCTCTTAGTGAGGATTCTTTTGATGTTCTAAGCGAGCATCATAAGTAGCTATACAACTCTAGTAAGGGTTCTATCAAATAAATAAATTGTCATGATAAACACAACAGATCATAACATCAACATGAAACTAATATTTTAGATGAAGGGATAGAGATTTCTTTACTGGAGGCCCATCCCGGGGAGCTTGAGGGATGAACTTGCAATCACCAGAGCCACCAAAACACCAGCCATGATAGACACACTGCAACCTTCCCCACTGATCAATCCTCCCCTCAGAGAGAGGAGCCAGCCTGTGAGGGCAAGCATCATCCATGACTTTCCACTCCCCTTCGTTCTTATCCCACCATAACACCAGATCAATACCTAAAACCTTCTTCCCGTGGGGCCTTCTCTTGTCAAGATCACACAAGGGCATCAGAGGGTACCACTCTGCATACCAATCGAACCTCTCTCCTTGGGTTTGGTCCTCTATTCCAGACTCAACGGGGATCTCAGGCTCAGCCGAGGTTTCAGTGGAAATGGCAGTGAAGATCTTGAATCCTGCCTTCTTGGAGTGAATTGTCTGGAGTGGGAAGGGTTTTGAGGAAAACCGGGAACGTGAGTTTTTTAATTGGGTAGCTGGAAGCCTCGGAGAATTCACAGTGAAGCGAATTTGTGGAAAGGAGGAAGCTTTCAGCCCTTCCATGGCTGCTAGCTTGACTGTCGCTACGAGTGCAAATGAGCGCGCAATGTGGCATTGAGCCAAACGATCGGTAGGTACTGTTCCGTCGAGTTTAGAATTTTAAACAAAATTAGCTTTCTCGTTGACTTTCCCGTGTTCTCAGCCAACCCCTTAATTTGTTACTCCTAAATTACTTTGACATGGAATCAATCCAACTATTTTATTTTTATTTTTATATTCACTTCGATTTCACATATACTATACTTTTCACCCGTGCTTCGCACGGGATGCAATTAGTAAACAATATTTATTAGGAAATATATAGAAATATTATGTAAAGATAGAACAATTCATACATTCTGTTTAACAAAACTAAATGTAGATTAAAAAAATTCAAATTATTATTATTATTTTCTAACCGTAAACAACATTCACTCAGTTTTTTAGATCCCGTAGGCAATCGGTCAAAATTGGTGAGGCAAAAGCTGAGAAACATTTGTTAAAAGTAAAAAATGTAGACATATGATAGGGGTCCAAATCAAAACCAAGAAGCATACCTCTTTAAAATACATGAAAGGAAGACAAACATGTGAGAATTATTGGGAAAATGTACTCCAATAGGAGTCCTGACATCTATATATATAATGAGAGAGTTCAACATACAAATGGAAACAAATATTCCTAAATATATTTTAGGATATAAATATTCCTAAAATATATTCTATTACACCCCTCAAACTATGCGGGAGATACAACGCGCAGGTTGTTTTTTTAAAAATGAAATTGCTGACTAGAAAGGCTTTTAGTAAAAATGTCAGCTAGCTGTAACTGCGTAGGAATATATTTCAAGATCAAATCTCCATGCACAATGCGTTCTCTAACAAAGTGATAGTCAATCTGAATATGTTTGTTACGAGCATGTTGAACAGGATTAGCAGTCAAGTAGGAAGCAGATATATTGTCACAGAATAACTGAACAGGAGCTTTGACAGGATATCCGAGCTCAAACAAGATGTAACGAATATGTAAGGTATCTTGGACAGTGTAAGCAACAGCTCTGTATTCAGCCTCTGTGGAAGATTTGGAAATTGTAGGCTGCTTCTTAGATTTCCATGAGATCAGGTTCGGCCCTAAAAAGACAGCAAATCCAGTCGTGGAGCGAGATGTATCTGGACAGCTAGCCCAAACAGCATCAGAGTAGGCAATGACACATGTCGCATGTGTAGTCGGGCGCAACCATAAGCCATGATTCAAAGTACCCTGTAAATACCTGAAAATTCTCTTGACTGCAAAAATGTGAGTAGTACAAGGATCATGCATAAATTGAGACACTAAATGGACAACATAGGTAATATCAAGTCGTGTCAGAAGCGTGTGCGATTGTTTCGGATCCAGGTTTCAATTACTGTTTCCATCTCTGTCGTGATATCTCCTCTGAGTTTTCTTCTCTCTGCCGCCCTTTATCATCATTCGCTTGTGATTTTTAATACAAATCCCCTCATCAAAGAACTTTGATTTCCATAAGGGTTAGGTCCCGGGTTCGAATCCCGACAACTGCGATGAGAGGTTACTATGCTAAAAATGCATAGGGCCTCTGCAAGTACCGGGGACGGAGCCCCACTCTCAATCTGTCAGATTGTGATTATAGTCCAATTTACACCCTCCCATCGTGTTGTCCGATCGGTGTTGGGGGTCCTCAGGGATGGGGTGGTCATTTTTTTTGAAGAACTTTGATTTCCTTAATCAACTTCTCTTTATATGAATCACGGTGAGTCTTGCTAGAAATAATATTTATTGTCATTTATCATTGAATTCATCTAGTTAGTGAGATTTTTATCGTTAGTAATGTTGATTTAGTAATTTGGTTGCGGTAATCGTTGAATCCAGTTTGTTAGATCTAGATGTAGCAATAGTTGAATTCATCTTGTTAGTAAGAAAGAATATTTATTGGCTGTGCTCTTGTATTTGTTGTTTGTCTGCTATATTGATTGATAAGACGTTTTCACCATGTATTTGTTCTTATCCTTTGGTTAGGTTGTTTGATTTTTGAGCTTTATGTTGATTTTAGTTTACTCTTCATTTTATCCAGTACGACACTATCACGGTTTAATTGATGCACTTTCATACATGTTCTATGCACCTTTATCTCTATTAGTCTATAATGATAAACAATCTGCTTATTGAGCCTATACATATAATTCCTATTCGTTTTGGGTTATTTTCTCTAGAAAATTTATTTTTCTGTTATCTATTTCATTTTCACTTAAAAATAAAGACGACTTTCAATTAAACTTTTGATGCACTTACGTGCTTTAGTCATGCACATTCATTAGTTTTTTTTCTTTTTGCAAATATGGTGCAGTGTCAATGGAAGGATTATGATCAATTTGGAAGAAAAAATGCATTTGATCTTGTAAAAGATGTCATGTCAATGTAAAATTGTAGAAACTAAGATATGATAGTGCATTTTGTATTTATTTCAAATGCATAAAATAAAAGTGCATGCCATTCCTTTTATGTGTGTAGAAGTTTAGAAAGTGCAATATAATGGTGCACTTTTGTATACGTTTGAAAATACTGTTTACTTTAATCCTTTAATCCTTGTATACTGTATACTGTTTACTTTAATCCTTGTTCGAGAATAACAAATTAGCTATATACCGCCTATGCGAACAATTGTTTACTTACAACTCCATCAAAATATCAACATATCAATTAAATTTATTTATTTATAAAAAATAATGTTTAAAATAATTATTACTTGTTTTAGTGCATTTTTATTTTTAAAAATTATGAATACTGTTTAAGTAGTTGGACTGATTAAATTAATAAAAAATTAATTAATGTTCTTAAATATCTTTGGGAAAATCGCATATATGGTCCCTCAGTTATCCATGAAATTAAAATCTCAGACTTGTATTTCTGAGATTGTAATTGTCACCCCTCAATTGTCCAAATTGTTGTAAATGTGGTCCTTTAAGTAGTGAAATGTACTCTCACCCACATTGTATATTTCACCTTTCAAAAGGACCACATTTACAGCATTTTGGTCAATTGAGGAATGACATTTACAATCTCAGAAATATAGGTCTGAGATTTTAATTTCGTGGATAGCTGAGGGACCATATATGCGATTTTCCCATTATCTTTTAACAAGTTATCAGCTGACCGTAAACAACCTTTCGAACAAACACCGCTTTACAAGTCATTAATCAAACAGCCAAATGAATCTGTTGTCATCGATGAATTAATACAATCGGCCAACAACCAATTGACAAACACCCATTATATATTTGTTAATTAACCATTTAAACATTTTCACACATACAAAGTATTTATTTTTCTCTCCGTCCATTTCACATGTTCTACTTTTCTTTTTGGTTGTCCCAAAATAAATGTCTCATTTTTTATGAAAAGAAATATGTGACCTACAACATTTCATTTTATTATGCTTAAAATCCAATCACAACTTTAACTTTTTCAAGCACTTTATTAATAATTATGTCAAGTCAAAGTGAGACACATAAAATGGGGTGGAGGTACTAAATTTGCTTATCTACAATTTTTTCAGGTGAATTTACATTTTCATTTTTAGCCATTAAAACCGTCGGGAGGTCAAGGGTACCACGGTTAGGGGTGAGACTTTGGAATCAAGAACCAGAAATTCGTTGGAACCGAACCGTTAAAATCCCGTTTGGTTCATTTCGGTTCCTACACACGAGTTATAAATTGTTAACGGTTCGGTTCTTATTCTTTGTTAACGGTTTGATTCCCGCTTCCTACAAAAAATATGTCTACAGAACTGGTTATTTAAAAAAGAAAAAAAAATTGAAAGTATAACTAGTAGTAATAATAATAACAATAATAATAATATTAACATTAACAATAACTATAGTTGTAGTAACAATACTAGCAGTAATAATAATATAATCAATGACATCTAGTCACACAATAATTTAAATATAAATTGATGGAAGTGGATGAGGATGAATACATTAACCTCATTTTTTACATATCATATTTTGTTCCATCAAGGAAATTTCATTATTATAAAAGTAAACCAAATTAATTTGTGTTGGTTCGATATATTTTTTCTTTAGAATATTTAAGATGATTGTAATTGTGAGATTTGGTATAAATAATGCTCATAGGATTTGAAATGTAATAATGTTTATATTTGTACTTGTATATTCAATTTTTTTTTTTTACGTTTTGAGGAACTTGAACTAGATGTCTTATTCAACTATGACGACCCAAATTTTATTGACATCAAACAACAACGATTTTCATATTTTATTTACAAACAAAATTCAAAAATTATTTAATCCTATTAAGTGTTGAATAAATCAAGTTTGGACTTTATGTTTGAAGTGATGAGTTCTTCAAAAAGCACTTATTACTTGTGTTTTGAATTTTCGACGTTTTAACGTTTTAGAAAATAAATTGTGTTAATTTCTTTATGAAAAAAATTGTGTTTAGGAACCGATAAAAGTAAGAAACGAATCGTTTACTATTGATTCGGTTCTGTAAAGTTTTTTAAAATTTTAGATAGCAATAGAACCTACTCCCTCCGTCCCAAAACAACTTCCCATTTTCCTTAAATGGATGTCCAAAATTAACTTCACACTTAAATACTTTTCTGATTTGACAAATTATCTACATCAAAAAAGTTTAAACAATGTCAAACAGTGTTTAAACAGTGATGCACTTAGAGTATTATTTTAGTTAAGTTTTCCCTCTCGCCTGTCTGCACTTCCACCCGGAGAAAGCCCCCTGAATTCGACCAAACTTGCCGGGCATTATCGCCGGATAATTCTTCCAAACCCCAAGTCCACCACCACCCATACGTCCCTCACTACTACTGCTCTGAATCACGCCCCTTCCGGAATATACTCTGACCTCTCTGTTTAACACCACCATAGTCTGCCCGTTTCCCCGCCGTATCCAGACGTATCCCTCCATCCCGGCCGTCTACGGGACCTTGACCGCGTATCCAGTCACTTCGAATGCCCTACGCCTGCCCCAGGCCTGCCCGACTCGTGTCCGGCCACGCGATTCTCCTCAGGTATGGCGTTTACTGCTTGATAGACTAGTCCTTTAGTATAATCATTCACTTCGAAATGAATAAAGTTCCCTTTTTCAATTAAATATTATTTGGCTGAGCCGAAACCCGAAGCATTGGATAATATTTATGATTATTCACCCTGAACTCGTGCTGCACTTAACAACAACAACGATCTGTAATAATTTTATAATGGAATTGTAGTGCGCATTAGGCATTTAGGCGTTCAATAATAAAATTTTTAGTGGCGGAGGAGCAAGGAGCTCTTCTCTGGCACTCTAGACTTCACCATACAGCTTACAACACAAACTTTCTCCATTAGCGAGTTATCTCTCCCTTGTGTGCTTGTGCTTTTTATGTGTGTACATGAATAACTGAAAAGCCGTCGCCTCCCTTTTATATTGTTGCTCCATCTGAATAAGCTGCATGAATTCAATTGTGTATATGAGAAGTCTTTCGCTAATTGTATCATTGTATAAATGCTAGTTTGAGAGAGTATTGATTTTCACTTTCTAGTAGCACCAAGATGCTCTGCACTACTGCTTTGAATATATGTCCATTGATGTGGTGTGAACGTGAGCTGCAAGCCTTTAAATTTGCATATCCGGAACAGATCTACAAAATAGATTGTAGGATATACTGTCCTGAACTGAGTTCAAAATTTATAACTCAAAATGGATTATCTAGTCATCTGGATGGAAGCTCAGTGGGCTCAAAAGCCCCAAAGCTACATAATTGAGATGGGCAGCTATGGAACACTCGGGAATAATGTTGAGCTTTAATTGGGGTTATATAGTGAAAAATGGGTTTACGTGAGATGTGGGTTTTCTCCACACAAGAGTTCCTCTTTGTTCATGGCTGTCCGGCACACCTGGGTTCCTGTTGTTGGTAAAACAAGGCCCTGGCTGTTATATTACATTTCTTTTTGGTTTAAAACCGATGAGCTTGGATTTGTGGCTTCTAGATAATGGAAGCTGAAACAGCACTCAAACACTTGTACTGTGAGATATCATGGATTCAATTTCAATGGTAGCATCATGCTATGATGGCTAAGGTGAGGTGCAACTTTGTTGAACTCGAGGGAAATAATCTGAAAGAAACGATTTAAGAATCAATACATTCTCCCTTGAGCGAAAAAAGAAAAAGGTTACCAATTTCAACACTTTTGTTCGAATAATTTGATTGCATTCATATACTGATCCTCCCATCATTACACATATATTCCACAATTTCTTCAACAAAACATTCTAGTGACTCTAGTCATTGGTTGAAATTTATATATACTCTACTATTTTAGATTCTTTAACTATTATCCAGCATTTGGATGAGTACTAGTACATGTTTGGCAAAATAAAGGTGTAAAACATGAAATTATTGGTTGCAGAAAGTTACTGCCCCGTAGTCCAAAGGATGCAATTTTTGAAAGACATTGTACCAGCTGCATTGAACAATGTAAACACAAAATTCATAATTTTAGACAAAGGAAGAGTATCAGTAGATGTACAATCAAAGATGTGCTTGGCATTAGTGGGTGATGAGACTGCAGCCGTTCATTTCCAGATGTGGGCTGATGAGTGTGATCAATTTGAGCCTGGTGACATTATTACTCTTTCAGATGGCATATTCTCTTACTGTTGCAACACTCTTGTGTTAAGAGCTGGCAAGAGAGGTAAGGCAGAAAAGGTGGGAGAGTTCACCATGTCCTTTGTCGAGACACCAAACATGAGTGAGATTCATTGGATCCCTGATCCTAATAACTCAAATATATATGTCGCTGATCATGTTATTTCTCCCTATTCGCGAGTTTTCCCGCCTGCATCCTGACAAGGGCTCCTCGCAGGAATGATATTAAGTTTCTATTGAACACAATTATTTGTTTCTTTTTGTTTTATTTACTGATACATAGAAATTTTTCTGTTGAGGGAGTCTTAGATAGAGGAAGATGTAACAAATATTCATGTTTAGATAGAGTAATAGTTGTTTTGATGTAACAAAGATGTTTTTCCGTACTTAACTTTTTGAGATCTCTTTGCTTTGAAATATAATAGTCTCTTTATGTCATATCATCAATTGAATATATCTGAGAGTATCGAAATGACACTTATGACTTATACAATGATGACTATCAAAACTTAATTTGCTTATGAAGATTGATGCGACCTAGGTTCTTCGTATAGAAATCCAATGTAATGGCTTGCGGAGCAAAAATTTCAATCACTTTGTGTGATTTTGCAAATTAGTGTATTGCAGATCACTATGTTCTTCATCAATTAGTCTCCAAGTTGCAGATGATATTATAAGTTTTCTAGCAGTGTGTTGAGTTGTACTTGGAGACAGTTAGTAACCATTTACTGAGAAACTCGGTCATTCTTATTTGTTTTTACAGAAATTAAGAACGCTTAGTTATTAGAACAGATATCTGAGTTTGCATCTTCCCATCTCTAACATGTTCCACTTGTAACTTAAAATTAGTCCATTTCATGTGTCATTTGGTGCTATTATTGATATCATTAACCTTGGCGGATAGGAGAGGCTAAAAGGGTAAATTTAAATGTCATACCATAATTTCCTTCCAAACAAGAGCTTTGGTTGGATGTGAATTAGTGACATTGCTTAAGTTTCTGCCGCATATATTTGAGACAGCTAGCTATCCTTGCCATTACAGTCTTTTGGTATCAATACAGCACATAAAGCACATACACACATAAAGCACGCAACTGTAAAACAAAAATTGTAATGTTAGAAAATCAAATGAAAAAGTACCAATTTAGTAGTTCATAGCTTGTATTGACCCTTAAAGTTATGTCTGCAGACTGCAAAATCCTTCCAGAATGGTTACCAATATTCTGTCATATGGATGTCCTGCAACTTCCCAGCCTTTAACCCATGAGCACTTCAGATCCAGTGTAGAAGCTGTCTGCCTTGAGGAACCTTCATCTTCCCTCACTAGAGTGATGCATTCTCAGTTATCATATTCTTCTTGTAACTGGGGACAACCCACTTTAATCAACAAGTATGATTACTACATATTAGTTCAATTTTAGTTGGAATTGTAGCAAATTGCGAACTTTTACATTTAACCTTTTCTGATTGACCATGAATTGTAATGCTTAATGATATTCTGAATCTGTGGTGTTTTTTAAATCAATTGCGCCATGACATTATCTCCTAAGATTGGCAACTAAACCTTGTCTCTAACGTGTTTAGGAGGATTGCATGGTTGCTTAGAAGCAATGCAGATGGCAGGGGATTGAATTCTTCTTTTACCAGTGACAACAGCGATAGAGCTCGGCTTATTAGGGCCATTGAAGCTCTTCAAGCCAAATTGAACACAAGAATGAAGGGGTTTAGGGCGAATCTTCCCATGAAGTTGCTGCTTTTGTTAATTGGCTTTTATTGTGCAACAGCTTTTGCCACAGTAATTGGGCAGACTGGTGACTGGGATGTTCTTTCCGCTGCATTGGCCGTGGCTGTGGTGGAGGCCATTGGTGCTCTCATGTACAAAACGTTCTTTCCTTTTATAGATAAGGTAAAGGATCTAATCACCATGCTCAATTACTGGAAAACTGGACTCACCCTTGGACTTTTCTTGGACTCCTTTAAGTATTAGCTTTAGGTGGAAATGGAATTAACTAAAGAGCATTGTTATTGTGGAGACCAAACATGCGCTTATGAAGATCCAATGAAATGCTCCCCATGCTTTCTCACCTTTTTTGGATTATCCGAGGCACATTGAGACCAATATGTGTATGTGAAATAATGACAAATAAAACTTTTCATGTATAGTTACCATAGTATTACGTAGTATTTCCGCAGTGATGGGTGATCTGATGTTATCGTTTGACTTTAGCAATGATAGTCTATTGACTCTAGTCTATATAATCATTTTTTTAACTATGAATTCTGTATGTTATAAAATAGGAATCTCTCTCTCTCACACACACACATTAGGGGAAGTTTTATCGTACAACAATTAGGCTTGCATTATTGTATGATATAAAGATGCACATCTTGCGTTGGTTGTGTGGACATATTTGAAGAAACCGCTTAAAGAATGAGATAGTCAGTCAAAAGATGTGGTCAATGCCAATTGGAGATAAGAAGTGAGAATCACGATTGCAATGATTTAGAGTAATTAGGGATGCTATGGTACATCTTGACTCTTGAGTAGGTGAGAGCGAAATGGAGAGTATTGTGTGAAAGAATGATATGTTTTAGTCTCCCTTTTCTCTATTTATTTTTTAATGTGATTTCATATGTCGATTCAAGTTAGTCGATCATGACTCTTTCACAACCAAGTTTTGAATGTTGGGTGTGTGTATATATTTATATTTATACTAGTGTTACACAATGAAAAAATGCTCAATATTGTTTTTTAAAGCAATTTGATTAAGATGTATTTTTTGTTAGTAGAGTTAAGTTGCATAAATATAAAATCAATGTAATTCCAAGCCAATTACATTGATTGCAACCCAGACTAAGATCAGGTCCATGCCTACTCACAATGTATATAAGTCTGCACCGAGATCAAGCACACATGGACCTTGGAGATATGTTCTATAATGAGCGAAAAATAATAATAACAATGAGAATCAAATTAGATAATCGCCAATTTTTTTTACTCCAGGAGGGTCTGGGGGGAGCCTGGATTAGATAATCGCCAATAAACAATGAGAACTATCTAACTTATTTAGAGGCCGTTTGGTAACATCATTTTTCGGCTTATCAGCCAACTTTTTCACCAAACACGTAACTTTTACTTTCGCGCGCTGAGTTGTGTAATAAGCAGAAAAAGTAAGGTTGGAGTTACTTTTCTGGCTGTATTGGCTGAAGTTACTGTAGATGACCATTTTAACTTTTTTTACATATAATTTTTTATTTATTTTATTAATAAAATATATTTTAAAAATAATTTTTACTTAAAACAGCAGAAACAGCCAAAACAGTCACTTCAGCCAGAACTTCATAAATTTCAGCAGAATCAGCCAAAACAGCCGATTTTCGTGCTACCAAACGGGCTCTTAATCTTGTTTACACTTTTCATTTGTACAAAAGAAGAATCCATAAATAATAAAAATACATAATTCACATACTTCCTCCATTCAATTGAAATTTACCTACTTTTATTCTATGTTTGTCCCGAAAACGTTGATATATTGTCATTTTCGATTTAAAGTAAATAATTTGTGATTCTACTTATTCCTCTATTTTATGTACAACTCTCAGTTATACAACGTTTTATTTTATTATTTCACACTTTGCAATAAATTACAATGTTCAAGATAGTTTGAAAAAAATTAAAAATACTCTTATATGAAAGGAAAAGAGCCTCTTACATAATCAGTTCAAGATGAAGATATTACCAAACAATGCATCAACAAATCAGTTCAGTAGTTCACTCACAAACAGGCCTATCGTCAGTTTGGGCCACAAGGTCAGACAAACCCGATAGGCTAGCAGAATACACAATTTTGTCGTCCTTACCCAATTAGACAACCCGCGTTTGCCCTAGGCGGTATATGAGTATACTCGCGCTTCTCAGCTGTAGTTCTGTGTATAACTGTTTTTGTTTATCTCAGGGTTGGATCTACTACGATAGCTTTTCATGAATACAGTACGTCTGATTCATTCTTTGAAACCTGCAAAACTTATGACGTTGTATTTGCGTTTCCCTTTGTTTTTTTGCTGGAAAGTTGCATTTTTTGTGCGATTTGCGTTCGCTTCTTTACTTGTAGATTGTTTTACAAAAATAATCTATTCTATGGGGATTGGATTAGGTCAAAGAGATACTGCACCAATTTTTGTTTCATGATTTCAGTGATAGAGGATGAGATGATGATTATTGTCAAAATCTTGATTGCTGCTATGATGGCATTACAAGTATTCGTACTGACTGATCATTCTTTGTTTAACTGTAATAGGTTCTTTACTCTTTTAAGTTTATTATTCTTTGTTTTTTTTGTATCATTTCTATTGTTTTTCCCTTTTTCAGAGTGGTTATTCTGTGAGTTGAGATAATTAGCTGTTGAAAACATATAAAGCTCTGTTTTAAAATATGAAATGGTTGAAAGTTTCGTAGAAATTCATCAATTATTAGATAGATCTACGCCATATTGTTTCCTGATTTTTTTTCATTGTGGGCGCTTTAAGAATGAAATGATGAGAAAATATACCATTGATGGCAGATATGATTGCCTTTTATCATGTATTAGCTCTAGCTGATCATTCTTATGCTTGACCGCTTTGCCTAGATAGTAGATAGTGGTTGTTAAAACTACAGACTTTTTGCCCTTTTTTGTATTTTTTTGTTTAATCTAATCTATAATTCACACTATAAAACAACTTATATTATCACAAGTATTTGTGGTGTTGAGTGCTGATTGATTGAAATGTCTTCTAATTGCAGTGAAAATCATACTTTTGCCCTTTTTATGTGTTTTTTTTGTTTAATCTATTCTAGAATTCACAATATCCATTGATGGACCTTGGAGAATGAGGTGATGACAGTTATAACATGTTGATGGCTGACGTGATGGCATTTTATCATGTATTAGCTCTAGCTGATCGTTCTCGTGGCTAAATTTTTTCTTTCTCGGGTTTTGATTGAGAAACATTTTTTTACTCACATATTATTAAATTAATTAAAATATTTCTTACGCTAGAAACTATCTTTTACTCCAAGATTGTGACAATTTTTCAAAGTTATAAAAAAGATACAGTGTACAAATTTAAAACAAAAGCTCAGTTTCATACTTCATCCTCCTAAGTTGTTAGTTTACCCTTATTTTAACAATCCAAATATTCAATTACAAAGAACCATTAAATGGGTTTTAAACAAACAAAAAGAAGACATTGGGAGATGGAAGACTTGTTTAATTACAACTTTGTTGAAGAAATTACGTCCAAATTTGTAGGCCTAACGCCTCCAAAATCCCTGGAAAAAATTGGCTTTGTAATCGGTGTCGGTTATATGTAATATTTTGACTTTGAGATGTCGAGAACAAACTTGTGTCGGCTTGTACAGAACATGGGAATCAGGTGTTGCGAGAGAACTGGTGTCGGTCAGATCTACAATTGGTGCCTGTTTGATCAAAATCTGCACAAAATAATGAGACGTGTAACCTCTTTTTGATGAGAGAAACTTACTTTTCCATTAGCTATCAAATAATGCATTCATACCGAATTTTTTGTCTTTGAATAGATTAAAGCCCCCATCCTTGAAACCGAAATTTGAATTTTTGTATTTCCATCATTTTGTATACTCTTTTATAATTAGTACTCCTTTTATATTTGAAAGTTCTCTAATTTGGGCACGCCATATAAATTTGTAACTTTTAGAAAAAGTAAGTGTGATTGAGTATTTTTTTTGGTTCCGAAGTAAACAACACGTGGTGGTGGGATTGCCCGGGAACACGACCAAAATTTATTACAAAAATGTTTTTTGTGTCCACTCCTATATCCACTTTTGTATCCATCTATGTTTGTGAAGTGTTTTTTTTTTGTCTGTGAATCCCGGTTCACAGACAATATTTTGTTTGTGAACCCCGGTTCACAGACAAAAATAACACTTCACAAACATGGTGAGTATAAGGTGGGTATAAGAGTGAGTACATCAAGCATGGTTGAATTTATTAATAAAAGGGAAAGTTCAGGTTACAAGAGATAAAAAACATACAATCAAAACAAAAAATAAAATAAAATAAAAAACAAGAAATTAACAATTGAAGTTCTTAGAGGGAATCCTTATTGTAGCTGAAATAGATCTGTTGTATCTGTTATGGAATTGAATTGCCTTTCGGAGAAGTGTTGATAGGTCTTTGCTTCCGGGTGAGAAGACTTGTAATGTTGAAGGAACGTAGCAAGTTTGTGTGAAGAGTCCAACCTCGCATCAATCCGGTAAATGTAATAGTCATATTTATGTTGAGGATATCGTGATTGACTTCTTGTGACCATTGGATGTGATGTGTAGCCCACCTCGTAGAAGATTGGTGCGGCTTCAAGAGTTCCGTTTAGAGGCTTTATGCAATTGCTTCTATTTTTCTTTGTCTTCACCTGTGTAAAGCCATCGTGATCCTCATCTGGGGGAGGACCTGAAAGAGCAAGATTAGTAATAATAGGGGTATCCTCGGATAAAGTATCATCACTCGACAAGGGAGGATCAATAGTACAATCCATATCAGTTTCAAAAGAGGGATCAGAACTTGGTTCTTCATTTCCAACTTTAACCTAAGTTTCTTTATCATCGGCAAACAACGAGGGTTCATCACAGTCAACATGTGCATATGATCTTCTTCATCATTCTTCTTCAATTCATCATTACCCAAGTGGCACAAAGGCTCCCACCTATGGTGGGGTAAGGGGGGAAGTACGCAACCCTATCATGTACTAAAAGTACAAAGGGAGTGTTTCTGGATGACTCAATGTGAAAATCGCGTCGAAAATTACATGGACTAACTGCTCTTTCATAACAAAGAAGCGCAGACATTTAATAAAGTCGTTTTGCTTTATTACCTCATATTCCTAAGCCAAAAATAGGTAAACTTTGGCTCTATTGCCAAAAATAGGTAAACGTGTGCAGATATTATTTCAACAAAAACAGTATCAATAGGATCAATACCAACAAGCAAAATATCAACCAGGGCATCAATGTCAGAGCTAGTAATATTTTCTGTTCCAGGGGCCGTGCAAACAATTTTGGCATTGAAACCATAAGCGTACCCAACCTCAACAAGAGCAAAAATATTCGGCGCATAAACAACAACAGGCACAATATCAACATGTGCATCAAAATCGGAACAGGTAGCAACTGTTTTATCCTTATTATTAAAGGAATCAACAAGGCCAGCGTTATACAAATCAACCTGGGCATCAAAGGCAGAATCAGAAGCACAACAACCTCAACAAGAACAGAAACATTCGGGGCATCAATAGCACAATATCAATCGGTGCAGGAAAATCAGAACATGAAATAACTATTGCATCTTTTTTAACGGGTTCAACAGGGATGGTGTAGTTCAAATCACACGCCACTAAAGGTAATTCAACAAGGGCAATATCACCCGAGGCAGAGGTATCAACAGGAACTACCTTTTGTATGTGAGGGCATTTGTTTTGGCCAAATCGAGAACAATTACAGCAAAACATAGGCAAATTTTCATAAAGAACAGATTGATAAAATCATGAATCGTCATTGTTAATCCAGATTTTAGACGGGACAAGTTTTAAAATGTTTATTTCAATACAAATTATAGCAGTCGATGGTCTAGATCGAAAAGGTAGCAGTAGGCTCATCAATTCTAATTGGTCTCCCAAGCAGGCTTGCAATAGAGAAAAGAGCTCGCAGATCGTGAAGGTGAATCAGAAGTCCGTCCAGGGTGACCCAGACAGGAGCAAAAGGGGAGTCGCAGTCACAAGAGAAGGACGAAGTCCATCTGGTGACTCGACTCTTAAATCCAAAGAAATCCCAAATCAGTTTTACCCAAAATCTTCGGAAATCAATATCTTATTTGAATTTTATCAAAATAATGTGAGGTCTGAGTAGGCCGATGGTGTAGGGTTCGGAAAACCCTAATGCCGCAAAGGCCTTGCGGATCGAAGAGATTGGTGGTCGGTCTTTAAGAAAAGTGCCAACAAGAGCGTAACAGAAAATAAAGGAGTAAACCTGGATATCATCCTTAGAGAAGGAGACAGCTGGAACTCCATTGCAGGTGTCAGATTTGACCGGAAATCGTAGGAGCCCAATGTTGGAGAAAGAGCACTTTTGGGAGTGCAGTCATTAGCCAGGGTAGTAGTCCCTTACCGCCACTGCAAACGAGAGTTTCATTGGGGCGGCTAGAGGTCCATTCCCCTCCGCCGGCGACATTGATTTGCCTCACAGGCGTCGGGTAGGAAACGAAGCCGACCGAATTAGACAGAGGGTGGTGTGTGTTTCTTTCGTGTATTTTCAAACCTCTAAAGGTGATTGAGTATACACAAAGGGAAAACTTATCAAAATGAGAAATTGTAGCAAACTTTTAAATACATCTAACAATATTATAACTGTGAATAAGGGTTGGTACCCCTTATTTATGTCAATACATTGTATGTAGAAGAGCTTGTACATTGTTGTTAAAAATCCGTACCTTACTTTTAACTTGACTTGTTTAACCTTTTACTGCCGTCTATTATTTCACTTCCGTTAAAGTTAACATTTTAACATCACGCTTAAACTCCTTCACCGTTACTTAGCTTTGTCGACACTAAAACGCATCAGTACTTGAAAAATCAGAAGCACAAAACTCCCACTCATCAAATACATCGTGTGGCTTCATTATGCACGTCCTCTTCATATTTGCACTTTTTTACTAGGAAGTTCGGCAAGAGGCTGCCAACACTCCTCTTAAGTAGACATAACAGATGCAACCTGCTGCCACCCCTCTGTTTAATGAGTTCGAGTCTTCTGATAATCCTGACCTTACCAACACTATGCATGATACCCATACTACCTCCAGTGAGGTGGAGCTGCACACTAATTCTAATAATAGTGAGAATATGCATGAAGTGTTTACTGAAAATGATTCTGCTGATAATAATCATGATACTGAGGATCAAGGTCTAGAAGGATATCAATTGGCTAAAGATAGAGTTAGGAGAAATATAAGGAAAATTTCTGATAGCATGACTGACTATGCTTTTCATCTCTATGATACTTCCTTGTTTTCTTTCTCTGTTTTTGAAACTTTTGATTTGAATGAACCTGGAACCTACCAGGAAGCCCTTGCCTGTAGAGAATCTAAGAATTGGCTTAGTGCTATGAAAAGTGAAATAGATTCCCTTAAGGTGAATAAGACTTGGACCCTAGTGCTTAGGACTCCTAATTGTTCTGTTGTTAAGTGCAAATGGCTTTTCAAAGTCAAAGAGGAACCTAATAATGTTAGGTTTAAGGCTAGGTTAGTTGCCAAAGGTTTCACTCAAAAGGAAGGGATAGACTATGCTGAAAATTTTGCCCTTGTAGTAAAATTTACTACAATTAGGATGATGCTTGCTTTAGTTGCCCATAATGACTAGGAAATGAAGCAGATGGATGTTACCACTGCCTTTCTACATGGAGAATTGGATAAGCAGATTTTTATGACCCAACCTGAGGGTTTTGTTGACCCTAAGTACCCTAGGCATGTTTGTCTTCTTAAGAAGGCTCTCTATGGCCTTAAACAGTCTCCCTAGGCAGTGGAACATTAAATTTGACCAATGCATGTCCTCCCTAAGTTTCAAAAGGTCCGATTCTGATCCTTGCTTGTATTTTAAGAATGCTGATTCTGTACTTGTTTTCTTGTTGATCTATGTGGATGATATGCTTATTATCAGCCCCTCTGTGAATGCCATTAAGAATGTTCAAAAGTGTCTATGTGAAAACTTTGCTATGAAGGACTTAGGAGATGCTAAGAGAATCCTAGGGATTAATATCATTAGGGATAGGAGTAGATGTACCCTTACCCTTAACCAGACCTCCTACCTTGATAAAGTCCTTAAGAAGTTCAACATGAATTCTGCCCTGCCTGTCAATGTGCCCTTAGCTTCTCATTTTCCTCTAAGTAAGGATCAGTCTCCTAAGACTGGCCCTGAAATTGATAGGATGAAGTCTGTACCCTATTCCAATGTAATAGGGTCGGTTATGTATCTCATGGTAAGCACCAGGCCTGATATTGCCTATGCAGTCAGCTGCTTAAGTAGATATATGGCCAACCCTGGGATGCCTCATTGGAATGCCCTGAAATGGTTGCTTAGATACCTTAAGGGTACCATTTCTCATGGTCTTGTGTTTTCTAAGTCTGATTCTGAAACATGCCTTACTAGTTATGTTGATTCCAATTATGCAAATGATAGGGATAATAGGAAGTCTACTACTTCTTATATTTTTACTTTGTGTGGTTCATGCATAAGTTGGAAATCTCAACTTCAGCCTATTGTTGCACTTTCTACTACTGAATCTGAATACGTTGCAGCAACTGAGGCCTTTAAAGAGGCTATCTGGCTGAAATGTATTCTATCTGAAATTGGTTTTCTTAGACAGGTTGTAACTGTGTACTCTGATAGCCAGTCTGCTATACAACTGTGCAAAAACCTAGTATTTCATGACAGGACCAAGCACATTGATGTTAGGTTCCACTTCATCAGGGACATTGTGGATAAAGGAGGGATCAAGCTATGCAAAATAGCTTCTGAATTCAATCCTGCTGATATGGGGACTAAATGTCTCACTTCTGAAAAACTGTTTTCTTGTAAACGTATTCTTAACTTAGATTGTGTCTGATAAGAACAGATTAAAACAAGAAAAACCGGCGATGATGATACTCCCATTCACAGTTGTGCTCTACACCACCAGGGGGACCAATAAGGTGGAGATTGTTGGTGGTATTGGTCCACCTCTTATTTGGCCTTACCTCACTCGTGTTGCCTCTTGGTCCACTTCAATTAATAGGCTGGTCTCCTATTAATTCCTCTGGCCCAACTTGGGCTGTGTGCCTGACTCAGCCCACTCGCCCCTTTTGTCCATACCCAGCCCGTGACCCCTTTGTCGCCCTTTGCTTAAATTGTCTGGTTGCTTCCAGAATCCCCTATTTGATCCCTTCCCCCTTCTCTCTACCCGATGAGCTTCTCTGTGCGTTGCCCCTTTCCTAGAGTTAGAGAGTGTCGGTTCTCTCTGAGTATTAGCTCCGGCTATACTCCGGTGAGGCCTTGGGGGTTCCTATTGGGGTCTTCACTCTAGTCTGGTAGTTTGGGGGTTGTCTTCTCCGGTGGGATTTCCTTGGGTCTGGTCTGGGTGGTTTGGGCTCCAAAATACTGAGTGTAGTTGACTGTTGCCCTTCATTTTCCCTATTGCAACCTTGGTGGTGAATGCTGAGCGAGCCTTTGGGCTTTTGGTGATTGAGGTCTGAGCCGGTGCGTAGATCCAACATTTTCAATCTGAATTGATTGTTAAAAAATGAAAGACTCAAGAATACTCATTTATAACTTCATACTTCGTATTTGAATCGAGAGGGAGAGACAAATAAATGATATGGGGTGAAAAGAGGGGAAGACTAGGAGTTGAAGTGTTTATGATTGATATAGAAACAAAAGAAAAACGAGGTAATAGAGAGAGAAAGAAAGTTAAAAGAGATACACATATTAAAACAAAAATATTCCGTACAAAGCTGGATATACACTTAGAAGCTGTTCCGTTCGTCTTAATCTTATTACTTATTCCTTAATCTTATTTTATTCAGATCAGATCAGATCAGAAAGATTCAGATCAGATCAGATCAGAAACATTCAGATCAGATCAGAAAGATTCAGATCAGATCAGC